TTTTGATTGTAATTTCCATTTTTATTCTCTTAGAAATATTTATCTTTTATGATTTTAATGCTTTTAATGCTGTAAGCCACCCGGTCACTTTAAAATGGTATGGGCAGCAAATAAATTTAGCAAATAAATCATGCATTGCCAAGATCAAATCATGCATTGCAAAAATCGCTTGGAGGTGGGAGATATTTCTAATGTAATCTACCAGATCCTCTGCATGGATTGCCCTTGTGACTTATGTAGGACAGATGGGGAGGAAGCTAATCACTAGATTACAAGAACACAAGCGATTGGTCATAAAGGAGAACTGAACTCATTGGTAGCTTCACACTGCAATGAAGAAGGACATACATTCAATTTTGCAGCTACTAAGTTTGTTGGATGAGCAAGTACAAAATCAGCCAGGGAAATAATTGAAGCCTGGGAAATGGGCCTTTGTCAGTCAACAGGAGTGCTTTTTTATCAAGTATTTAGGAGGGGAGGGCTTGGCAGCACAAGAAAACAACAGCCAATGTTTAAAAGCCAGCCATCAATAACCCATCAACAACTAAAATGTCCGAAATGGTATAGGGTTTCCTGCCTGAGCAGGGGGTTGGACTAGATGACCTCCAAGGTTCCTTCCAACTTTATTATTATTATAAAAAGCCCCACATAACCATACATAGAACAGAACCAAAGCACACATTTTGCTAGCGAGAAGTTCCCTGAGGATGGACTCCAGCACGAGTCTGAAAGCTCAGAAGACTAAATCTCTGGTCCCAGTGACCGACCCAGATTGGATCCTGCAACATTATTCTGGGTCACATATATTTGCCTTCATTCGAAATAAATTACTTTGAAAGTGTCATATAATACCTAACCATTAAAAATTAATGTGATCAAGAAATACTTGTTAAAAAAAGAAACAATTTTGAAACTATATAATAAAAGCAATATACAGAAAGTTAATAATTCCACAAAGTTAAATGAGCAATTTGTTAAGGTTAATATTTTCTCAAATGGTCTTCTACTATTTTATTGTATTTGTTGTCTATTATCTGGCTTGTTTTTTAAAGATAATTTTCAAATACTGCATGTTTATTTTTATGATTTAATTACAACATATTTTTTTTAAATTAAAATATTTAATACTATTAAATACAAGAAGCCCACAAAATTTTGTACAAAAGCGTCTGCCTCCTTGCATTTGGTAGAAGAGATACCAAAAATCTTACACAATCTAACAATAGATTCTAGTAAAATAAAGAGCAGAAACAGAAAGGGGAAGAGATAAACATATGAAAACATCACCGTTCTTATTTTATATTTCATAGTTGCTTGTTATAGAAAAGTCACAAGCACTCTCAGTCTGGTGGATTCCGTCTGTACGGACTGTGACAAAACTTTTTTTGGGGGGAAATAATGTTATTTGAAACAGAATTAAATAAGTGACTTTACAAGTAACAACAGTAGAACTGGTAGCATTCTTAGAGGGATGACTGGAAATCGTGGCAAATTGTTTTAAGCATATTAAAATCAATCCGAGAGAGAAACATGTTACATTGAAATTAAGAAGTATAAGAAAGTAATTTATTATGAATTTGTCTGAAATAATATTGAATGTGGTATTCTTATCAAATGTGATATTTACAGGTAGTTGTTCATTAATAATTATTCAAAGTTATGATGACACTGAATAGGAGACTTGTATCTGGTCCTTGAAGTGATGGTTATTGCTTCCCCAGAATCACATGACCACAATCTGGGTGCTTGGCAATTGGTCACAATTGTGATGGTCGTAGTGTCCCACAGTCACAGACTGCCATCTATGATTTCGTTGCCAGCTTCTGACAAGCAGCATCAATAGTGAAGCCATTAGGAGGTTACAAATGGACATGTTACATCACACTTAATGATAATGCAGAATTTGTTTAATAATTGCAACTGCCAGAACTGTTATCATAAGTGGGAAAGTCATGTGATGTTGCACTTTACAACCAAATTGCTTAGCAATGGAGTTCCTGGTTCCAATTACCATTGTTAACCAAGGACTGTCTGTACTCTTTCCTCTAGGGCTGATCTAAATTATTTATTAAATGTGTATCCCTGCCATCTCCCAACAACTTTGGACAGCTCGAAGTATCAAAAATAAGAAAAAAAATACAGTAAGAAACAAAATAAAAGATGGCAACGATAAGAAACTTACATAATGAAAAAGAAACAAACCAACATAATTCAAGGGGACTCCAGTCATCATTGCCAAAGGCTTGCGCAAAGAGCTAGGTCTTTGAAACATCAGCAGGTTGATGTTGGAGGTAAATAATCTAGACATAAAACAAGTCTCCTGTTTATGAGTGCCTCATGGCTCCACTTTGTCCCATTTCTCATTATATTGATACTCAATTGTGTAACTCTGCTCTTAGCTGACCAAGTGTTTGTCAAGGTTTTGGCCCAATGCCTGGATGTTATAGATGACTGAATGGAGAACAGGCTTCAGCTCAACCCTAATAAAACCTGTGGTTGGAACCCCTAATTCTAGTTGAGATTTTTATGTATTTGGTCCCAGGAAGGGGATTTATACTTCCCCACTTAGAACTGCATGTAATTTGGGGGCTCTTCTGGATTCATAGTTCTTGCTTGAGCAGATGGCAGCTGTGGCCAGGAGGGCTTTCATACAACTTTGTTTTGTGTACCAATTGTACCATTCCTGATTTGGCAAATCCTGTTTGTGATCAGTCATGCTTTATTGCTACCAAATTAGACAATGCAATTCACTGAACATGGAGTTATCCTTGTAAACCATCCAGAAGCTAAAATTATTTCACAATAAAGCAGCCCAGGTCCTCATGGGCATACCTCCGTACATCCACTTAACTACTTCATGAACTGCTCTAGCTCCCACTAGGCTTCTGAGTCCAATGAAAGTTACCGATAATCACACATAATGCCCTATGTAATACAGGGGACTAGGGTACCTGTACCTGCAGGACCATCTTTCTCAGATTATTTTCTACTGTCCCACATGTTCTCATAGGAAGGGCTCACTTCCAATTCCTTCACTGAAACAATAGCACCTAATACCACAAAAGAGGTGTGCCTTTTCCAGTGCAACACCTATCTCTTCCTTCCTCCAGCATATATTTAATCCCAATCTTGTTGGCTTCTGAAAAGATAGTAAAAACTTGGTTTCCCAGCATATTGGGCACAGGGTAACAGAAGATCCCACCTACAGCTGGAATTTTAATTGAGCCTCGATTTTTCCTTTCTTGAATTAAAACATTTTAAACTGATGTATGCCACACAGAATCCAAGCTATGCTACCATATGAATTTATTAAATAACCAATAAATAGGAGTTTTGTAGCTATGCTTACAGACCTAGCATGAGTTGTTTATATTTTGTTTTTAATAATAGCAAGAGTAATAGGCACCCTTGGATGCAATCTGAAATCATCTGGAGCACTACTTGAACACAATCGGCATTGACATCTAGTTAATTACAAAGGCAGCTTTATCTAGAATAGCTTACATTCTGGATAATACCTTACCATCAAACAATAACTTCTGAATATCCCAAGTTCTTGGGAAGGACTCAAATGTCAAATCTAGTCTATCTATCTGGTTGACAGTGTGACCAATCACAACAACTTAAATTTCTATGTCACCCAAGTATAATAGAAGTTTGCTTTAGATCACACTCCAATGAGGACATTGTATATTTTACTTTTTACACATACTGAACTTTCCAATACAAATTAGAATTTTCAAAAGCCCATGTGGCTAGTTAGGTATTCAAAAAGTGTCTCAGGAATTACACTTAAAATACACTTACACTTTTAATTACACTTAAAACTACATGTAAAACATTATTCCTGACTATACATTTCAGGGAAAGCAGGTTATAATACCTTGTTTCTGTTTTATGCCACCACTAACTTTAACTATTTTAGACATCATATTAAGTACAGGTAGTCCTCACAAAAAGTACTTATGACCCAATTCCAAAGTTCCAATAGCTACTCCCTTTTCCATGGTCACATGACCACAGTTCAAGTGCTCATCAGCAGTTTACAGCCATCTTACTGTCACGTGATTACAATTCACATTTTTGCCAAAAACTGAAGTTCACATCCAATTTTTGGCAAAATATAAGGTGGCAACTGATGCAAAACAGGGTCAGTCACATGATACCCTGAATTTACAACCATCACAAGTTATGACGGTGATGGACAGACTCCATTACAGTTGTAAGTCAAAGACTACCTTTATGCTTATAAAAATTAATATGCATTCTGAACAGAATCTTGAATTGAGTAGTATAGAGGACGGAGCCAACCGCTTCCAGGCTTCATCAACTACTCAAATTATCCCCCCAAAAGTATTTCCCCAACTCTTATTGGAACTAGTATTTCCCCACAGGACAAACAGCATTTAAATACTATCTATAACAGTGATGGCGAATCTTTTAGAGACCGAGTGCCCAAACTGCAACCCAAAACCCACTTATGCATTGTCGGGTGCCAGGTGGGTGTGGCCCATTGGGTGGGCGTGGCTGCGGTGGTAACAGCAGACTGGGTGGGACTAAAAAGTTCAATCAATCAATTCCAACTTTGCAAGATCTTTTTTTTTTCCCGCAGAAGTTGAAATTGACTGATTGAACCTTTTTTTTTTGTACACTGGCGGTGGAGGCCTAAAGCGAAAAGGTTTTATAAAACCCAGCTGAAGGCCTAGGACTGGGGGGACAGCGCACGTGCCCACAGAGAGGGCTCCGAGTGCCGCCTCTGGCACCCGTGCCATAGGTTCGCCACCACTGATCTATAAGAACAACCCAGAGAGGAAAAGTTAGCTTTCTCTCCATCACAACCCCATCATTCCAATGCAAACTGAGTCTTCTTGCTGGCAGAAAGAAGGAAGTCCATTCCCCTACTTCCTCGACCACATCTGACCGTTCGCCTCAATTCGGAAAACCACAGTACCGATAGAAGGCAGGGCAACGTGCGCGGGTTAGAAAACCCCGATACTCACCCTTGTATACCTGAGCTGTATTGCCTATTTTTCCAAGGCGTGCCTAGAGCAAGGGAGCAGCCGGCCTGCGTGGGAGAGCACGGGCCATTTTCGCCACCTGGGGCGGTCCCCCTGCGGACGGTCCCGACACAGCCGCCCGAGAGCAGATAGTTCATCCCATACGTGCTGGCCTTGTTCTCTCGTTTCCTGCGCCCCGGGTGGTACTGATGGTCGAGGTGGTGATGGTGGTGGTAGTAATGGTGATGGGGAGAAGGGGCGGTGACGGCCACGCCGGAGGCCCACGGGGCCTGCCCTCCTTCCTCCTCCTCCAGCTCTTCTCGCTTCACTGAATTCGCTTCAGCGGCGCTTGCCAAGATTTTACCCGAGGCCGGCGGTGGCGGCCCAAGTCCGGGCCGGACGCAGGAGGGCGACGAAGAAGAGCCACCCCCGGGGCTGTCAGCGCCAGACTCGGCCGAGGAGGAGGAGGACGCGGACGGGGCCTTCTGTAGGAGCAGCAGGCGCGGCGCTCGTCTTTCCGCGCTCTGGGCAGGCAGAAGGCGCAGGGAAGCCGGCTTGGAGATCAGCTGAGGAGACGACAGAGGTCCGCCAGCAGCAGCAACGGCAGCGGCCTCGGAGCAGGGCGGTGGAGGAGGCGCCGCCGCTGCCGCCGGGCTAAACCGGCAAAAGGAATAGCGGGTGGCGGCCGTCGGCGGGAAGGCAGGCGAAGACGAGGAGGACGGCGAGGACGTCGAAGAGCCGGCGCCGCCGATCCGGCCCTGCGAGGTCTCCCAGATCTGCATCCAGAGCGCATTGGCGGGGCCTTTCTGCTCGGGCTGGATCCAGGCAACCCGGGGATCCATCCATCCGGCCCTGCCTTGCAGCCGGTTCCGACGGCCCGTCAGACACGCGCCTGGAAGAAGAGAAGGAGGAGGGGCGGCAACGGCATCTGAGGCGGGGCGTTTAAGCTGGAGAAAGAGGCGGACGACGCCAACGAACAGGACCCCGTGCAACCCCCCTCGCGGCCCCCCTTCTTAAAATCAACGCTGCGCCTGCGCAGTGGCAGTTTTCCACGAGGACAGCTCTCCTCAATCCTCCCTGATTAAAGAGAAAATACAACAGGCGCGGTACGAGAGCGACGGTCAGATTGCTGGGAAACGAAACTTCCGAGATGCGATTTTTTTTCCTTCCTTTTGGGGGCGAAAGCGTCTGTAAAGCAACATTTAAGACGTTCGGTGGTCAAAGCAGCTATTTTTTGCCAGAGGGATCGGAAAGTATTAGAAAAGAATGCAATGCACGTTCATTAAAACTCGGTTGTTTCTTTGATAACGAAAAGTTAGGCAAACTTTAAAACGCGCACAAGACGACCCAATACGTTGTAACAAAAGAGCAAAAGGCAGCTTACTACATTCCTTTTTCAATCGGGGTCGCCCGATGTGTCGAAATACAAATTCCTAGCCAGATTCTAACATCTGGAAGACCGCTTTTGGGGAAGGCTAGGTCGCTTAAATTATTACCTAAATATTACTTAAATTATTACTGGGAGCCCAATTCCAGCGGTCCTTTAAATTGCACACAACTGTTTGACCGAGAAATGGCCTATTTTGCCTGCAAGGTTGTCATCCCTTTTTCTGCAGTTGTGTTGGACTTTTCAGAATACACGATGGGGGATGGGAAAAGTTTGAATTAGGCAGAAAACTTCTTGCCTTTTGTTAACCTGTTGGCCATATTATTAGAAAGGGTGTTAACCCTGAATATAAAGCATCCATCCCCCATAAAAGATGAGAAGACAAAGATCCTACATATAAACAAAAAAGTGACTGGTTTATTTATTTATTTGTGAAATATGTATGGCTTTAAATGTTGTTTTACAGACACGGACATCCAAATGGACTTTGGTTAGAGTAAAACATGGCCAGAAGCAAAAATATTTATAAAACTCAACTCCAGGTAATTAAAAAAAATAAACAATGAAACTCTTAACACATTATGGGCACCATTCAGTTAATCTAATCAAAGGGCCAAGTGCCCACTGGAACAATTATACTTTGTCTTGTTTTCAAAACACCACTAGAGTAGGAGCCATCAATATCTCTTGGGAGAGAGAATTCATAAAATAAGGACCTATTGCCAAGCCATGTATCTTGCAAGGAGAGGTAACCTGCAACAAGCCCTCTCTTGATGATCGGACCAAATAGGAATATTCAAATTTGGTAAGGCGTTACCTGATGTATCTGCAGTTATAAATGACCATTAAAGGATTTAAAGGTAATAACTACTTTTCTGAATTTGGTCCAGAAGCCTTCTGGCAATGGATGCAGTGATTCTAAAATAGGTGTTATTTTAGCCAAATGGGTGTGACGTATCAGAAGTTTAGCCAAACCTTTTATGCCAGTTGCAGTTTCAGGCCATTTATAAAGGCAACCCCATCTAGCATATGTTACAGTATTGATTAAAGCATGGACTATTGCAACTGGAACAACTTGGTCCAGGTAGTGCAACAACTGGTACACCGGCCACAGTGTGTAAGGCTATCTTAGCCATGACTTCTACTTGCTGTTTCAACAGGACCTGAGAGTCCAGGAGACCCCTAGGTCACAAACCAACACCTTTTGGAAGTGTATAATCCTATCCAGAGCAACTATCAGAGCCAATGTTAGTAGATTGCCCTTGTATCGATGGATGACAAACAACTCCATCTCGATAAAATTTAATCTGACCTTGTTTATCCATCCAGATCTTCATGGCCTATTGGTATTTTTAATTTTGAAAGGATACCTACTATTTCTGGTAAAATAATTTTTAAATATTATCTTATTACACAACTTGGGAAGATCCATGGCAATAATACTAGAATAGATTTCCATAATCTCAAATGCGATTTGGAGTTACATGGGAATGAGAGAATCAAGAAAAAACAAAGAACAGGAAGTTTTCTGAAGTTAGCAAGATCAATCCTAGTATGTTTTGTAAATTATATACCTGCAAATAATTTGTGATATGATAGATATCCTGTTATTAGTAGTTTGTGACTGGATTGTGAATCCAGTCTGTAAACAAGATGCTTATTTTTTAATTAATTTCCCAAATTTTAGAAATAGTCCCACAATAGGATTAATTTTATTTTTTTTCTATTCATTAAAGACTGGAATATGATCATTTCATTTTTTTAACTTTGCATTTTTAAATGCTTTCCTGTTCGATTTTAACTGTAACTATGCAAGAATTAAAATTCACTAGGCTCATTGAAAACTAGCTAACATTTTGGTTTGAAGTTAAGCTAGTATGCTAAATTTTATCACAAAGTGACTTAGTCCTTTACACATAAGTGTCCAGCCACTACCCAGCCCTTGATGAAGCAGAATAAAAAGCCCATCCTTTAGGAATGATCATTCTGTACAACTATAAACATCCTGAGCTGTGGCCTGCTCTATTTTGTCTGTATCATTGGGCAGATTCCAGCAAAGCTTAGATCTTAATTGTTCCAAAACTGATCAGTTCATGAAAACATCTGTCCTCCATCCCAAGTCAGGCTTGCTATGTCAGCCAAGTGGTTAATATATATTTGTACAATTAGTGGCTTGCCAAAGCAAAAAAAATGAAAAAGATTTGAAAAACAAGGAAAGTGTATCTGGCTGACACAACTACCCCAAAGACAGAAAGGAAATACAAACTACTGGTTTTTTCCTCAACCAAATTCCCAGTCTACTAAATTGCAATTGTGTTATAATTACAGCAATTAGACATTTGGCTCAGTTAAACTCTGAAAGGGGTTGAAAGGGAAAAGAGGGTGAGTTTTTGTGTCAGTGTTTTTCTATGTGTGTGCTTGGCGGGAGAAGAAGTTAACTTTCACGGAGAGCATTATAGGTGCCCATACATTAATGCCATGAAGAATGAAAAGGAAAGGAAGGAAATGTGCTCTAAAACTGATCTTATTATATCTGACCCCCAGAGACTGCGTTCTAAGAAAGGAAAAACATTTTTTTAAATCACTGGGCCCATAGATGTGTATAAAAAATCCTGTTTCTTTAACTACAGGAAGTGCAAATGGAAAAGCCAATTTACACATGTATGAAGGACTCTATCATATAAATGGCATGCAAATAGCCAAATAGCCAGGGAGGAGGGTCAACGAAGCCCTTAAGAGCTGCTATAATTCATGCAGGAAAACTCGTAATATAATGTACAAACCAGGTCAGAATGTGACCTGGAAATAGTTTTTTGAATTAATTAGAGAAAGACAATGTTTACTGGAGATGTAGCAAAAAAAGAGCAATCCTTGTGCTTCTTCCTCTGCCTTAATAACTCGGGATCTTGTGCCAAAACAATAAAACAGAAATATTTTCATAAGAACACGATATTATGTATCACAAACACCCCACCCCCTCTGTTTTCATCTCTCTGACTCACTTTTTCTATTTAAGAAAAAAGAAAATAGTGTTTGGTATGGCAAATAGATAACCCCTCCCTAAATCTGCTTTTCCAGGAAAAATAAATTGTCAGCCACCTGTAGAAAAAGATAATGATTGATTAACCTTGCATGCTGCCCAATCCCCAATGACTCTGGGAGGCTTACAACACTCAAACAAGGAATTGCAATAAAGCTAATAAAAGATGGCAAGAACAACACACCAGATGGAAAGAAGCAAGGTGCCTTACTTCCCTTCTCAAAGGCCTGGGTGAAGAGCCAGGTTTTTATGGCTCTTCTAAACAACAGCAGAATGGGGCCCATCTGGATCACAGGGAGAACTGCTTTCCAGAGGGCAGGCACCTCTTCCAAGAAGGGGTGCTTTCAGGGTCCTGATGGATAACATTATTTAATTGATGGAACCCAAGTGCATCAAATCTGTAAGATCAAATTGGCTGGGCAGATCGGGGTAGGAGTTGAGTTCCCGAGTCGTCCCATGTGGACGATGTAGGTGAGAACTCCTCCGGAGCCCCGAGGTTTCTCCGCGATCCAGGACGCCTTCGCTTCGGCGAAGCTAGAAGCCGCCGCCTCCGCTGCAACTTAAAGTGAACTGTGAGTTTTTCTTGGAAGCAGACGAACCGACCCTGGAAGTTTGCTTTTTATTTGGGACTTTACTCTAACTTGGATATTAAGTTCTTCCCTGTACTTGAGATGGTCTGAGGGAAAGTGAACTTAAAATGGCGATGGATTGATACTTTTCAGCAAGAAGTGAAAGTGATTTCCGGTTTGGAACTTTTGCTACTTTTAACCGGCGTATCACTTGTTTTGGTTGAATTGTTTATAAGACTTTATTATAATTGGAAAGTGATTGCTAATATGGCTTTGAGAAAAACTGCGCCTTCAACTTTAAAACCGACTGCATCTCCGATGTCTCAGACATCTCAACAAACTTCTAAAATTTCCCACCCGCCACCTCTGCCATCTTCTTCACCCCCACCGCCTTCTGGTAGAGAATTGCAGGATTTGATGTCCGGAACTATTAAACAAATGACTGAGATGTTTCAAGCGATGGATGTTAAAATGCAAAATAGATTTGATCAAGTATTACAGCAGCAACAGGATTTATCACTACAACAACAGGATTTATCACAGAAACATGAGGATTTTTGTTTGAATGTGGCAACTGCTTTTCAAGATTTGGCTAAATACGTAGACGCGGTGGCAGAAAGGGTGGAAGAGAATGAACAAAGAGCAGAAGTAAGTGACCATAGACTTGAACTTGTAGAGGAGAGTCTGGAAAATGTTAAGGCTGATGTGCTAATTGCCCAATTTCGTGATATGGAGTTTGCAATTCGGATTCGTGGGTTGGCTGAGGATCCAAAGGAGAATTTGAGACAAGTAATTTCAGATGTACTTATGGATGTTTTGTCCTGTGGCCAGGAAATTTATCTGGAA